ATCTAACAGAGCATGTACTACGCATATAGTAGAGACATCTACGCATACCGCTAGTACTGCTACAATAGAAAGAAACACGAGAGGGATAAGCGATGTATACCCTCCAATCGGCCACGCGGAGGCGGTGGCGGTGACAGCAGCCGCGGCATCCTCGGCGGCCTTCTTGTCGGCCTCGGTTTTCTCAGCGGCGGCACGGTCGGTGTCGGTCGACATGGTGATAATGAAGGTGATGCGGACGTAGATGAACAGAAGCGAGCAGTCGCGTAGTCGCTACCCAAAAACCTAATCGCCCCTCTCCCCGTACAGGATCCGGAGAGGCGTGGTTTCGGAGGCCTGCTCTCCCGTCAACCGTGTACGCGGTGAACGGGACGGAGTCGCCGGCGGCAGCAGCAGCAGAGGAACGACGTGGGCGTGGAGGCGGAGATGCGTTCTGTTTCGTGACGGCTAGGGTTGGCAGCGCCCCACATATATATGTGCGGCCGCGCGTGGAGAGACGTGGGCTGAACCCACGTCCAAGTCGGTAGCCCACGATCCGACGTCTCAGATCGTGGCCCCACCTGTCAAAGACTCTCCGTTCCCTCCAATCGGCAAAAAGAAGCGCATAGGAGTGAGCTCGGCTCGGCTCAATCCCGCAACCCGCGGCGCGGCGCGGCGCGGCGCGGCGCGGCGCGGCGCGTCGTGGCGAGGCGTGGCGAGCGGAGGAGGAGGAGTGCGCGAGGGCCTCATCTCTTCTCAAGCTCCAATAGCATGAGGGAGAGAGTCCCTTATAAACCACTCCAACTCTCCTTCCACTTCCAAGGTGGGACTAAACTTCCCACACACCTAGTGCCATATAACCCACATGGGCCCTTAGAGATTTTTCAGAAATTGCAATATGGGCCTAGAGCCCATCTCAGATTTCAGCATACCTTTCGTACTTCTGTACGTACAAGTTGAGTTTGGGGTCCAACAGTTGCTGCTGATTGACCCATGGTTTGAAACTTTGGGTTCAAATTGTACGTGGAAAATGGTTTGGATGGATTTGGCTTGAAAATACATTCAGTTTGGATTGGTTTGGATTGTAGCATTTGCAATTTGGTCTGGTTTAGTTTGATCGCTGGACTTATACATGTATGGATTGGCCTGGGTTTAGTTTGGATTACAAACTATTCCCAGGTTTAACCGCATCCATATTCGCGAACTGTTCCTCCTGTCCGTAGACCCATGCCACAGCAAATTTACGGTCAACGTATGCCTAAATAATCCATTCTACAAACACCGTACTCGTAGTTCTCGGCGATGCATAGTTGATCGCTTGTAGGTCGGTATAACCGTGCCCTCGAGACTCTTCTCGATCGGTTCAGTTGGCGCCCTGGCGCCGGGCATGTCCGACCGGTGCCGTAATTCTGATAGGTACGTTGATCGTCGCCGGTGCACCGCGCCCGACCCACTGACCGAGGCGACCTGGTACCGACGTTGAGCTGGTGGCCGAGTAGAATAGGCCTACCACGCACCACACAAGCAATGAGAAAGTTCCTCGAACGAGAGAAGCAGCAGCAAGGTCGTGGCTTCGTGCAGGTCAGGAGAAACATGACAGGTTCAGCCAGTAGCGTGCAGGTGAAGATGTGCTACATGCAAGAACAACATCGGCAGATCAACACGGGAATAATCAACATTTTCAGTGTAACCCTATGCCTTTTTTTCAGTACTTTTTCAAGATCGACGATTTTTTACAGTATATTACTTTGGGTGTGTCTAGAACACATCCAAATGTGATCTAGTTATTGCACATCTAAATGAGTGAATCAAGCACAAAGAAAAAAAGAAAAAAAGAAAAAAATACTCACATGAATCTTAACATAAGATCAATGATATATGACTTAGATGTGCAATACTTATGGCACATTTAGACGTGCTTTAGCAAAACTGTATTACTTTACATTCGGCTTGTACGCACAGATTTGCAAACTTAGAGTCACTTAACCACACGGCACGTAAACCATGTGCACGCACACTGCTAATCGGTAATACTAATTTGGTGCTAGGCGTTGGGGCCCCACATGGAGAGGAACATGACGGTGCGGAGCGACTCCTCCTGCGCCGCCCGCCTCCGCCGCTCCTCGGCGGCCCTCCTGGCCAGCGGTGCCTTGGCCCGCGCCGACTCCGCCGGCGCCCTGCCGGCCCTGGCCATGGCCTGCTGCTGCGCCGGCGCCTGCGCCCTGTCGGCCTTGCCGGCGGACCTGCCGACGGTGTCCCGCACGGCCAGCGCCGCCCGCGCGCCCACCCGGCTCATGCTCATCATGTACCTCAGGCTCATCCACCAATCTCTTCTTGGTTGCTTGCTTGGTTTGGCTTGGTCGTGGTTTCGACGTGGATGGAAATGGGGCGCGCCGGCGTTTATATATAGTACATGGCGCGGGCGGTTAGCGTGTTCCGTTTCTGCGGGCACGGTGCACGGTTTCTCTGGGAAACGGTGGGCGTGCTGCTGACGGCGGGAAGACTGCTCTAGAAGATGCCTTGCCTTGTCACCGCTCACCAAGTCCTTATCCTTTTTTTTAGGGGAACAAGTCCTTATCCTAGTAGTACCATTTTGACGTCATCCATTACGCGTTTTTGCCGGTCGAGGCTTCAACGAGATGGTGCAATGGTCGCTTTCAATCTCAGACGAGTGCTAGGAAAATGATGATGCGAGTAGGAAGCGATTCTTAGGTGGATACATTAGTTGTGTTTTAGATGAGTCACTTCGACAGATCGATCGAGGTTGCGTTTTGGAACTGCGGTGAATTTGTTTAATTTTGACTTCTAATGTAATGCTAAAATGATCGATCGAGGCCCTTGTGAAAGTCAAAATGCATTTTCATCTGGTTACATTTTGACTTCCACAAAGGCCTCTTTGACAAGAGTCTCAAAAAGCCGGAAATGAAATTCGTTTCATTGCTTCACCGACAAAGAATGAATTATTGCGAGAGATTTCAGCGGACAGATTTTTTTAATAAAATATACAAAAAAGAATTCCTCGGAGAAAAACTATATATAATGCTAAAAATTTCTTACATATTTTAATCCTCTAAAACTGCTTCGAATTAAAGAGCCAACAACAACTACAGACTGAACCTGACTGCCTAAGCAGTGTAATCTGAATTGCCGCACCTCGTCACATCGCGGCTGAATATACGATTCAGACTTGAGAGGTACCGCTACACAAATCCAACAAGACAACAATTGCATTGCATTCCATGCAAACACTTGCTAATTTTGCGGTTAGTGAATACTGCCGGTATACACAAAGGCTACTATTTAAGCTCCGAAATTAACACCACTAAAAGAACACCCGTGCGTTGCAATGGGGCCACATTAACTTTAAAAGTTCAATATTAATATTCTCATATATATCAAGTGACATTGGCGACCTTTTTTACCATCAATTCCTCACACACACTCTCTGCCTCCCTCTTTCTCACTCTCTCCCCCTCTCCCTCTCTCTCTCTCTCTAACACACACACATATCCATCTTATTGGGTACGGGACCATAATCCATCTATTTCACACACACACGCTAGTACATAACAATATGGATTATGTGTATTATATTTGCCACCACAACTGAGGGAATTAATTTCATGTAAATCGGCCAGCCACAACTTCAAGAATACGCGGAGGAGGTGGCCCGGGTCGGCGTCGGCGCCGTCCGGCACGGGCCACGGGCCCGCTTCCAAACGCGTCTGCGCGTCGGCCACCCACGTCGTGTCCTTCAAGTGTCACTTCCACCGCACCAACTCCCAGGGTCACGGCCATGGCCAGGGCCAGGGAAGCCGCCCTTCTTTGCCCCCTTCACCGGCCGCGGCCAACGCGGTGCCGCGGCACCCGGCCTCGCCGTCCTCGTCCTCCAACACCGTCGTGACCCAGTGACGCAGCCTAACCATCGGCCTCGAGAATCAAGAACGCTCGACAACGTAGAGGGAAGGAAAGGTCATATACATGTCATAAGAAAGAGAGTTTATTTACTGCTCACTCGATGCATTGTTTCCTTTGTTTGGAGATTGATTACCATCCGTGAGTTAAGGTAAGGTTTACGTGATTGAGCGATTTTTTGAAAATCAATTATTTGTTTTCTAATTAATGTAATTGAGTGATTTAAGGTAAGGTTAATTAATTTAGATTTGATCTTTAGAGATTGTTCGTGATTGATTCTACATTACTAAATAACTTGTGCCAGTATGGAAAGTTTTGATCTGTTTAGATTTCTTTCGTTGTGTGAGAGGGTGACGCGAAAATAAACCGATGAAGTGAGGGGAGGGGACGAAAAAAATCTACGAAAAAAACCAGCGAAGGTGGGAGGAGGTACCAAAAAAAACCATGGAAGGTGGGAGGAGACTACCAATTGTTTCATTAGGAGTAGAAATTATTAGAGATTAGAAAATATTTGTTTCCTGAAAATCTATTATTTGTTTCCTAAAGCAAATTGCATTAATGAGAGAGATTTCGTAGATTTGGCTAAGGTAGGAAAGAATCTATTATTTATTTGCTAAAGCAAATTGCATTAATGGGAGAGATCTGTTGATTTGGCTAAGGTAGGAAAAAATCTATTATTTATTTGCTAAAGCAAATTGCATTAATAGAAGAGATCCGTTGATTTGGCTAAGATAGAAAAGAATCCATTATTTGTTTCCTAAAGAAAATTGCATTAATGAGAGATTTGTTGATTTGGCTAAGGTAGGCGGTTTTTGCGGTTCGTGGCGGCTTAGTGTGAGGTGGGACGAGGTACCAAAAAAACCATAGGAGATGGGACGAAAAAAAACCTGAGAGGTGGGAGTTGTCCTTGGTTAACCTACGAAATTTCATAGATTTTTTTAGGACGAAAAAAAACCATGAAAGGTGGGACTAAAATAAAACCTGGAAGCAAGACTACCGACTGCTCCCTTAGGAGTAGAGATAACAAAGGGGAATAATCACTGCCAGCAGTAGCGAGCATTCTGAAATCTGAACCATATCAACAAGTCGCAGAAACCTCGACTAATCACTCAGCTAAGATGCGCAATGTCGACCTCATCAGGTAACTTGAAGGTATCCGCAGCCCCAAACTTCTTCCTCCCCTCCTTCCACTCGTCCTCATCCTCCAGGCTGTCGCTGTCGTCGTTCTCGTGCCCATGGCTTGATGGAGTCGCGGGCTCCTCGACGCTCTTCGACTTGCAGTGGCCGTTGGCGAGCATGGTGACCTGACGGAGGTGGGAGATCTCGACGACGACAGTCTCGTCGTTGCTGGGGAGTGGCTGCTTCCATGGCTCACCGTCGACCCTCATGAACGTGTGGTCGGCTGCTCCTTTGTGGAACTCGAACCGGATTCTATGAGCCTGGACAGTGAAATTGCCATTGACGTCAGTCAGCCAGCGTTACTGAATCTACAGTCCGTGTACCGAATGGTGAAAGAACCGAGGTACTTCACCTGTGCTAGACGAGTCCCGTGTCCATTAGGGGCCAGCAATACGAGACCGTGCCAAGCATCACGAAAGCCGACAACCTCAATGAGTCCATCATCAACATAAGGCGCAGTCAGGTCCCTCTGCATATATTGCCAGGTAAGCTTATTAATTTCTGCCGAAGCAAGTCATCAATATGACAACAAACAAGGCATCTCTGCAAGAAGGGGAACTTACGTCTTGTTTCTTCCTCGTGCCAGGGGTTCCCCAGGGATTGAATCCTCCCGAAAAACTTGGCAAATTGAGGCAGATAATTGATCGAATACTGAAACAAGAGAAAGTTTGTTGATATTATTTTTGGTCACTGGCTGTAATCCAATTCTTACAAATAATGATAACCAGAATTTCAAGTATATGCCACCTCAACTAGAAGAAATTAGTAGGTGGCAAATTGATTGCAATAAGCAGGCGCAGACATTTAAGATGTACAAAATGAAAATTGCCTGACCGTACACAAATACTGCTGAAATTGCCTGACTGTACACAAATACTGCTGATACTGCCAAAAGGCAATAAGGATTTATTTACCTGCTCGGGATTTTAAGCTCTTCCCATTTGCCACCAATTTTCATGATCTTCACCTTTGCAAGTTGCGAAATGTTCCTGAAAATGTGAGCGCGAAATGTCATATACATGTCTGAGGTCAAGGTATATAAGAACTCTTAAAGCTGATGGCAAAGTTATTAGGGCTCTACCTACAGATCTAAATTGATAGATACTTTGATAGCTTAATAACACATCAAAATGCTAATAATTTATAAACAAAGATAATATAAGCAAGATCAGAAGCACAATGGCTGCATTAGCGATAAATTACCTTGAAGAGGAATGGGTTAGGGAAGGAGCAAACCATCCTTGTTTAAGTCCAAGCTTAGCATATGTACCCTGCATACACAAATGCATTGCAAGATTCATCATACATCCATACATCACGCAGGCAGGCTAGCAATTCTGATTTCTGAGTTACCAACCAAAGGAAAGGATAAAAGAAAATTGTTTCCCACACAAACACACCAAAAAATACCTGATTCGTTAGCTGGTTTTTGAACTTCTCTGGATTTTTCTTCCTTTCAGAGTGGAACCCATATGACACTTGAGCATCCATTCCTGCAGTGTATAAAATCATGGTCACATTCATAATTTCGCATGATTCAAAATCAGGACACAATTACATATTTAATATAAAATGCATCCCATAATTGGACACTGAGACATGTACTATGGTAGTGACAAATATAGTTGTGAAAAATGTTTATCATCTGAAATGGTACGCAGTCTTTCTCTGAAATATAAGCTAAGCAGTAAGCAGTGCAACTCTTACCCATACTAAAGTAATTCCAAAATCCTCCACGGAATGTGTGGTAACCCTCCTGAACAAAGACATAATTGGTTAATAAACTCATGACATTTCTACTTTTCAGTGTATAAATGGCATTTACAAGTGATAGTCCATTGTTACTATTAATTACATTAGTAATCAAAGGATTAACGATAAATGGTAGCAGCAGAAATATGCCCTACCACATTGAGCTCATCGGATCCAGTTACACGGTGGAATGCATGAAGTGAATGAGGCAGCTCTAAGGGAGCAATAGGATCACATGGACCTTCCTGTGGTACTCGCATCCTCATGATGATATGCCAACTGAAACAGTAAAGTGCATCTAGATTGAATTTTTCTGTCATAAGCAGAATAGAGAACATGTTTTACTAATGAACTAACCTAACTGGGCCAACAACTGGAATAGAGAAATAGTTCATTGGAATGAGGTATGTGAAATAACCGTTGGTGCCAAAATGTGCACGTTAATCAGAATAGTGGAATTAATAAAACTTTTTTTCTTTTCAGAAGCACGTTATAGGTGAGACAATACCTATCAATGCGCATTTCTCTTGCTCCTTTTACTAGCCCAAGGAATGATTTCACTGCCTCTTGGTCAGTAGCTGGGTTCTTCTTTCCCTGCAGTTCAAGTTAAAATGAATATTAAAAACGTAGTTCCTTGCTGAACAAAGGAAACAAGGTATAGAAAATTCAGGCCTTGCACCGTACACAGACCAAGTAAAAGGAAACATGTCAAAGGAAACTGAAAAAATAAACAATAAACGTGTACATTAAAACAAAAAGTTTCATTCCTCATGGAACAGACAAACAAGATAATTAACTTGTGGTACTGGTATGTTCTTTTGTTTATCAGGAAGACATAAACGTTCCAGTAACAGCAAACATGAAGTACATCCAGAGACATATTCATCACACATTAAGACAATATGTGCTCATATAAGTCATAACAAAAATTAGGCACTAGCATTACCCATCCGAATGAAAAAGGAAGGTTGTTTCCGGTTCCCAGAGGCACAGTAGCAACAGGGGGTGAGTGCGTAAGCTTCAGATCACTAACTACTCCAAGCAGCCAACTTGCCGTGCCATCACCACCAGCAACCTGTTTGAAAGCTCCTTAGTTCAGACAAAGAAACAGGACATGCTTTTCTACATTATTAAGATTATGAAGGTAGGACACTCACAATTAGTCTCAGGCTCTTCTCAATTTGAATAGCAAGAGTGTCAGCATTGGACCTGAGCCTTTGGAAGTTGGCATACAACCTGTGCAGCACCTTGTCAGGGGACTCCTCAGACAGATCAAAGACCTGTGAAAAGGTGAATGATGTAAATTTCCCCAGCAATCAAACATGATTTAAAGAGCTACTGTGTATCAAGGGACCAATGGAATGCACTGTTTCAGCATCACAGATTCTGCAACTGCAAGCCAGGTACCTGTGCTTCATTGAGAACTTCACGGTATGATTTGATCAAACCACTTCCAAGTTGGCCACCGCTTCTAGAGTTGATGAAGACTACCACGGGACAAGATGGTGCATTGTCAAGGATGACTGGTTCAGAGTCCGGCTTTAGTATGTAATCTGGAATGCGGTAGTCCGACAGCGGGCCGCATGACTTGCTGCCAGAACCGTTAGAACCAATTGCGCATCCATCCATCCTGCAGTCCATCCTGCACATCATGGTAGTCAATTTTAGTTTACACACCTTACGAACACTCTGCACCAGCAATCTACCACTCGTTCTACAGGTGTGAGTGGGGGAAGTTAAAAATTTAAAGAAGTGGTGGTTTGAAAGTATCTTTTAGAACCAAGTATGACAGCCATCCCCATTAATGAACTACAACACCCAAGTCATTCTCCAATAAAAGCATGCTAGTAGCAGTTCATCAAGATTCTTGATGCAAAGTCAATTAAGTGTAATTTCCTGACAGGAAATATTGCTAGAACAGAAAATGAAGGAAACAGAGTTCATAACGCATTACCAACCACAAAGTGTGGGCACATTTGATAGAAAAATCATCTCAATGCAATCTCGAAAAGATTAATACTGGAAGATCATTCAAAGCGAGGATGACACGGGGCCTGGTGCCACATGAAAATGACACCTTTCCAACCCAGCGATCTTTACAACGATATAGGAAGCAATATCGGCAAAAGAAATTCATATGCATATCCCTGCGCATCCCATGACTGCACAAAATTCCCGTTACCACTGCCTACAGTTCACGAATTCAGCATCTTCGGAAAGTAGCGCTGTGTAGCACTATGCCAGCACAGTGCGGCAGCACACCAAGTAACAAGAAGCAGAATAAAGTATGGCACATAGGGCGCGCATGCACAAGAAGCGGGTGCAGAACTTGGGAACAACTAAACAGGGGGCGCGCTGCTTTTCCCCAACGATATTATACTAGTCGAAAAACTGTATTATTTACTACTTCCCTCCGTTCCTAAATATTTGTCTTTCTAGACATTTCAAATGACTACTACATATGGATGTATGTAGACATATTTTAGAGTGTAGATTCACTCATTTTGCGTATGTAGTCACTTGTTGAAATGCCTAGAAAGACAAGTATTTAGGAACGGAGGGAGTACAGAAGAAGGATCGGAAGTGATTTCCGCTGCGACGATGCTACCAGTTCATCTTCTTCGGAAAAACAATGCCGCCGCAGGCACACAGGCGTCCCCAATTTCTTCCACGAACCATCGACGCTAACCGCGGAAAGAAGCAGGCAAGACATGTGTCCTGCCGTGTAGAAAAGAAAAGGCCCGGCAACTGAAGCCCTGCGCGGAAGAAAGAACCAGATCCCCAACCCGCAGCCACACGGCATCACCCAGGTAACCGCCGCGCGTGGATCTAGAGCGCTAGAGAGAGAGGGAGAGATGCAGCGAGCACCGACAGCAGGATCGAATTCCGGCGACCGGAATGCGGGGACAACGACCCGGGAAAGAAAGAAAAGAAAAGAAAAGAAAATATCTGCAGGCGAGGGATCCCCTCGCAAGATTCAAGAAGCTAGGTGGGCGGCGGCGGATCTTTACCTGGTGGCGGGGGAGGCTGGGCGCGTCCGGCGGATTCGGTGGGTGGACTGGCCGGAGACCGAGGAGGGAGGAGTTGGGGGAGATTCTTGGTGGGAGCGGGGGTACTAATAGGGGAGGGGAGGGGAGGGGAGGGGGGGCGAGTGGATTCGGGGTTGGGGCTTTCCTTCCCCGGATGGTGGTGGTGGTGGCGAGCGGCGAGAGGGCGAGGACGGCGAGGAAAGAGCAGACGAAAGCGACCTCCGGCCCTGCGGAGTGCGTGCGGTTCATTCATGGAGTGGGGAGGCGGGCGTCAGCAGTTTGTCCAAGTCCGCAACGTCCCACTGGCGTCCGCGGTGCCAGCGGCGTGACCCGCTGCGCTTCTGACTTTCCCTTTTTTTGTTTTGTTTTCTTTCCTTTTCTTATTATTAGTTTGTTTAGGAAGTAATTATTGGAAGAAAAAATCCATAAAAGGTATATGTAGCCGTGAGAATTAGTAATTGAAGTTCTTTTTCCTAAATGGTTGAGTTATACACTAAATGTAGTTCTCTGTTTTGGTGTAAGTTTTTGCAATGTATAAAAGGCATGTGTGTGTGTGCGCGTGCGTGTGTGTTCCCGAAAATGATTAGATCTAGTATTATAGAAGTTCATCGGAAGTACAAAGCATCTCGAACATAATAAAAATTACATCAGGATTCTGAGACCACCGGACGACTAGGACTACTGCCGCCAGAACGAGTCGTCGAAGTGCCACTGTCACCGCTCCCCTATCGGAGCCAGATTGACCTTATCGGAGCTGGCATTACCTTGTGGATGACAATCAAAAAGCCCTCATGTGCGCGCCCTTAAAGACCAGCGCCCTGGTCTAACGTATGAACGTCGAGCCATGAGAAGAGGAAGGCGGTCTCACGGTTGGAAGAAAAAGAAGATGAAGAGAAGGATATGGTGGTAGCATGAGTGGGGTGTGAAGAAAAATTACTCCCTCCTATCTTTTTTATTCCGCATTTAAGATTTGCTTGAAGTTAAATTTTGTAATGTTTGACCATATTTATATTAAATATCTACAATTCTAAAGTTATATAGTGTAAAAATTAAATTCATGACGCATTTAATGATGCTGATTTTCGTATTGTGAGTGTTGATATTTTCTCTATAAAGTTGGTCAAAATTTATGAAGTTTGACTTTAGACAAATTTTGTATGTAAAGAAAAAGAACATGAGGGAGTATGTGGTTAGGTAAGATAGTGAGGAAGCGATAATTTTCTAGGTCCTACCAGGTTCCACTTGATGTCAGTCAACTTGCCACCTGATCAAGCGCGGATATGATCTACTCACAAATACGATCCAAATGCATTTTCGGAATTTCCTGACCCATTTAACAAACCTCAACTACTTTATTAAAACTGAATTAAACCTCAAATACATATATAACCTAGTATCAGAATTGCATTTTACTCTATCTTTTTTGTAAATGTGAGACGTGGGTTCGCGGTACTCGTGCGGATGCTCGACCGTCCTTCCCCTACTTTTCGAGTTCACATTTTTTTTTTTGCAAATATGAGGGCTTTTTAATATGAAATGAAACCCTACCGTATGTAATCTCAAGTCTCAACTGCGACGCTTGGTCCATGCAAACGTTGCTACGATGGCAGTCTAGTCTAGGCACGTTCAACTTCAACTCCACACGGGTCCAACGTCAAAGATAGATAGAGATGCTCCTACCAGCCTACGTAACCACCCATCGAAATTCGAATCCAGAAGCGAGGACGAGCAGGAGGAAACTCGTGCGCGCAGACGCAGCGACCGATCCATGACAAGCGCAGCCGTGGAATTAGTTGGCGCACTGCACCAGGAACACCGCACCACAGTACCGCCGCCGGGCTGATTAGTAGGGACGACCACCGCACCACCCTCCCTCACTCACGCAGCGAGCAGTGGCACGTGGGGCGACGGTTCAAACGCCCCGAGGAGGCGCGCGCGGTGAGAAACCAGACGGTTTCCGGCAGGGCCGCCTCCGCCCCGTGCGTTCTGCCGTCTCGCGTACGCGTGGAGTACTAGTACGTCCGTTGGCTGCCCCGGCGTTCCGGTCAGGCATCTCCACGGGTTCGTTGACATTGACGCGAACGCGGCCGCGTGCAATCGCAGCAGCGCGACTGCGGCTGCGTGCGTAGGCGGGCAGCGATCGGCGACTGGAAACGGAAACGGTGGAGTGGGTGGCGCGGGGACGGGCGGGCGGACGCCTGTGGATAGGTACGTGTATTTCGGGGTAGCGACGGCTCTGCGATGCTTAGCCGCGTTAATAAGCTCCGAGCAAGCCTATCTACGGTCCATACTCTAGACTACAGGATGAGGTCTGTTTCTGGAACGCGGGGTCCGTCCAAACGGAAACGGATGTGAAACACGACACGGTTGCGCGTGCTCGCGTCACACCCTTCGTTGCGCGGCTGCGCCTTGACCGCGGGGCATCGTGGTGGAACGAGAATTAATGATCCGAGAAACCTACCGTCACACCGGGACGAGTAAATTGCTCAAAACCACCATATTTGTGGATAGGGCACTTCAAAACTATCCATTTTGCCAAAAATCACGAAAAATCACCGCTTCTGTGGCAAGTGAATAACAAAACGCACTAAACGAGCTGTGAGCCGTGACTAGATGAAAATCTGACATTTTGGACCCACCTGTCAAAACCACAGTGGCCATGGCAAACGGCTGAGGCCAGACGGCCGTTACCACAGCTTGTTAAGTCTTCGTCACGCGTGGGAGGGCATTTCATCCAACCGCTCTCTCCTCTGCTCGTTCCCCTCTCGCGACGCAGCTGCCGCCGCCGCCGTCGCTGCGACCAGCTTTGCACCGCCGAGGGGAGGGCGACATGGTTTCTTGGGATGATGGTTATGACTCATCGTCTGACGATGATTTTGTGACAGGGCGGGTTAGCATCCGCTCCTTTCAACCACATCTAGGGTTAGGGTTCGAGGGAGAAAGGGGAATTTCTGTCCCCGATAGAAATTGAAGCCATTCTCCTTATGTTTAGCCACCTGCGACCATGGAGTGTACAAATTGGAGCGGCCTGGGTCTGAATCATGTTGCACGTTATGAGCATTAAGCCCCCTGTGAAAAGTCGGTGGCATGTGAATCCACTGATAGCGGCAGGAGGTTTCTAGACTGTGCAAAAAAGGTAATTGAGCACCGCAATTAGGTGTTAAAAGTATACAAATCATATTGCTTAGTTGTTTTAGTGAATTTGTGAAATCTGTGAATTGATTTCTTCTTAGTTGACTGATAGAATTAGTCGGCAATTAGGATGTTAAAAGTATAATGCTCTAGCCATAATTGGATCATTTGTTGATGAGTGTGGTCTTGTTGTTGGCCCTACTCTCTTTGCAATCTTCAGCACAGGCTACTGCAATGCTCCCTCTTCACTGAAATGTTGTTGTTCATCTTTATTTGTAGCTTGTTCAGTGTGGTCTTCCTCTTCCTGCTCCTCAGGAACATCATAAATGTCCTCAGGTCAGTGTCACCCTCACAGTGCACTGCTACCTTCTTCTTCATATCTGCTATAGTTGACTACGGATCATCACTATCTTCACAAGAGTTATCATTTGTAATTTCTGTATCAGGTACATACTCTCCCCTATCTACACTTTCTGGATCTAGTTCCAT